AAATTAAGATACATACATTTGTTTGGACATAATACTATTGCACGGTTAATAGACTGCGGTATAGTGTAAACATAACTTTTATATGCACTGGAAAACCAAAAAAATTCGTGTGACTTGCTTTGTTGCAATATTTGCTTTATTGAAGTAGTCTGGCACCAAACCCTCCATAACTCTGAGATCTGCCTGTACTCCACTCTCCAGCTACACTGTTCTCCTCGCTGTTCTTTTAACACAACAATCAATCTACCTCTCTTTGCACTAGCTGGTCTCCATCCCTGAATTCTCTGTCCATTACCTCTGCCTCTTGGTTTCCCTAGATTCCTTCAGGATGTAATTGAAAGCCCACCTTTTGTGGATCTTTTCTGATCCCTCAGCTGCTAATATTTCTTCCTTTTAAAATTACCTTCATATACTTTTGGTGGATCTAGATATTTATAATTTGCCTTTCCCTTTGGAATGTATACTCCCAGAAAGACAAAATATACGACATAATATTCCATTGCCTTCATGTACTATGACTTATGGAGGTGTTCTTCAATAGATGGGCATCTATTTTGTTTTTGTTCTTTGTCACTACAAAAAGTGCTGCTATAAATAGTTTAGTGGGTTTTTGTTTTGTTTTGTTTTTAACATCCATCTCCCTGTCTTGCATGCCTCCAAGTGAATTCAGTGGGTATGGAGTGTAAGTCATTTTCAAATGGCTTTTTTTTTTGTTTTAATGTGAGAACAACCAATGTTGCCTAATATGATAGTACAGGCTAAGAATGGGAATTTATTTTTTTCATTAAAAAAGGTTTAAAATAAGTTTTTTTTATTTAAAGTTAAAAAAAGAAAACACTTTTGACCGTCTGGTTACAAGCATAGTCACACCGTTTCTTAGCATTGCTAGCAAAAAGGGGGAGGGAAAATATTTAGGCCAAGTCCTTTTTTTTTTAATTAGATGATATTCTCCTTTGTGTCAGTTCCATCTTGGCTGATATTTCACATAAATTCTCATCTGTTTTTGTTTTCATTTAGTTATACTGATTTGTATTCATTCATATGCAGAAGTACAAAGTTTCTGGAACAAACCTGTATTTTGCTAATGACTAGGAAAGGATAAAACATTGCCTTCATGGACTCATGGACTGTCAGAATTTGAAGGGACATCTAGTCTTACCCATACTTGAGCCTATACTTCACAATATCTGTGATAAATGGTCTTCCATACTTTCTTGAAGGCTTCTAGTAATAGCGTACTCAATACAGAATGAAGCAACTTATTCAACTATGGAACCACTCAAATTGTTGGGAAATCTTCTCTTATACGAAAGTCTGGCTCTTTCTTTCTACCTATTGATACTCCCATGTCATGGGTTCAAGAAAAACAAACTCAAATAAAAACTGTAATTTTTCTTTTACTTAAGAGCCCCCAAGTCTTCCCTTCTCCAGATTAAGCATTCTTTATTCCTTTCACTGATCCTTACATGGCACTATACATTAAGTCTATCAGTCAGTTAATTCAAAAGCTTGTGTCAGGCTTTATGCTAAACTTTGTGGATACAAATGATGGGCAAAAACAGCCTCTGCCCAGAAGGAACTTATGTTCTATTGGGAGAGACAAAGGGTAAATAACTAAATTACTCATACAGACAACATGGAAGGTAATCTTTACAGAAGAAGGCTCTAATGAAAACTTTCTAGCCACTGTCCTCTCTGCTTCCATTTATTAATTTTTCTAGAATGTGGATCTCAGAACTGAACACAATATTTCAACTGTTATCTGACCGGGTATGAGCTGAGGATAGAAGAAAATGTCTCATTCTAGCAAACCTGCCAATGTAGTCTAGGCTCACTTTAGCTTCTGAAGATCCCCATGTCATGCAGTTGACTTCTATTCAGCTTCTCATCCACTTATTGCTCTGAATGGCTACCCCACATCAATATGTTAGTAGCTGGAAAAAGTATTTAATTGTGCCTGAATCTTTAAGAAAATCTTTGTGTCAGAATCTTTAAGAAAAACATCTTCGAAATCTGACCTGAAGTAATAGTTCATTGTTTGTGGCCAGAGAGAATTAAATGTTTCATAAACCCAATTCCTTACAAATGTGGCTAGTAGAGTTCTTTAATATTTATGAACAGGCATTTTTTAAATAAATTCTAAAATACACAGTTACCATCAGAATAATTCATTATTTTCCTCCTTTCAAAAGGAAATGCTATTTATTTATTAAAATTTGAAAAAAAAATAAACCTCCATATTATTCCTTTGACAAATTTGACCTAAAGAAAGCTCCCTTCTGTAAATAGGATCATTTGCTTTCGATGATAAACTTCATCACAGCACCAAAACAATGGTTTGTGTTTGTGCCAGATGCTTTAAGGACCATAAAAAAATTCTCTGAAGTACTTTTGACAGACAAAAACTGCCATGAAATGACAGAGGGTGAAATTGAGCTCAACACACCATTCTGATTGCAGAGGTAAACCCACATACCATTATATGTACTAATATAAATGATAAAAAAGTAATATTTCTCAACTAAGGAAGGCAATCCCGGAGCTTTTAATGTATGAGAGCATTACTATGGAAGTAATATTTGGATTTTCCCTTCAATTCAATTCAACAGGCATCTATTATGTGCCAAGCATAGTATTAGTAGCAGTAACAGAATGATAGAAATGTAATACTCCCTGTTCTTAAGGAGTTTACATTCTATTGCTTAATGGGGCAATGAGGGGGTTGAGTGGGGAGGTATTACTAGCCCCATTTCATGGGGGAGGAAATAAAGGACAAGAGAGGGTAAATGCCTTGCATGTAATCATACAATCTATTAAGCCCACCACCCACTTTTTATTAGTATCATTATCATTATTACTGATGAGAACCAGAGTGAACAATGAGACCTCAAGCATTCTATCTCTTGTATGTACTAGTAGAATGTAAGATCACTGAGGACAAACATTGTTTCATTTTTATTCTTCTATCCCTATCCACTAATACAGCTAAGAAACCTGGTTGGTCTTTAATAAATGCATGTTGGATAGAATCTCTGGAATTTAAAACAACTTTGTTTCTTCTACTGACCAAACTTTCCCAAACCCATTGAATCAATCCTTAACCATTTCCTCCTTTTTGTTAGGTCAGCTCTCAGTCACACTCTCCCAAAGGCAACTTTCCACTTTCTTCTTCCTTTTTTCTTTTATGTATTTATGACCCAATCAGAGTTCCCCACTATGGTACTCAATAAGACAGCTGTTTGGAATGTACTCAAAGGCTACTGGTTTCCTTGACAACAAGGACCAGGTGAAAACACTCCAATTAGCTCATCTCACCCACTCCACTCCCTTCATTTTAACAATGCACAGAAGCACCTCAGAGAATTTAATGTTTCATGACTGGGCACTGTGGAATGTATAGGTAGTCTGAGATGCTTTGGGCAGGTGAGTACTCAAGGCTTGCTCCTGTCCAGTCAGGGCAGTGTTCGGTAGCGAAGAGTCTTGATACTTTGCGAAGTTAAATTTGGAGATAACTGTTTTACAAGAAACATTCAGATTGTCTTCTTACTTGGCAGAAACCATGGGCTGCATCCTTTTTGAACCTTGTAACATTTGTGTTTGTTTAAAGTCTCTGCTTTTTTTTTATTGTTGGTTCTTAATAAATGCTTATTAGTTGATAGGAGGTGGATTTCTGTCTTGAGTCCATGCATTTAGTGTCCTAAGCCAAACAAAGACATATCCAAAATGAATCACCAATCATTGGTCTTGGAAAGCTCACTCTTAATTGAGTGTTATTTGCCATGAGGAATAGTTGAAAATTGGTGAGTTTCTAGTTTTCATCACTCTTAGGTCATCTAATTACATGCTGGCTTCTCAAGTTGAAATAGGTTATTAAGTTGGCTGCATGGGCTGTGTTATTGCAGGATGCAAAATGTGAAAAGGGTAATTAACTTATCAGATTCGTGGTTGTTTCCCCTTGCTCAACACAAGTCCATGGGTTTAAAAATGTTAAAGCTTTTTTATACCCGTGGAGACGAGTTACTTATAACTGCAATTCTCTAAGTGTTTGAATTTCTTTTACTGAATGGGGTGGGGTGGGAACAAAAAGAAAAAAATATATATTGCTTTGTTTATGAGAATGGAATTTCAAATTAACTTGACTAGTCTGCCAGATAAGGTTCCTTTTTTATAAGTTCTAAAGAGACACCCAATTTTGAATAGAAACAATGAAAGCTGTATGCCTAGGAATCAGTTTCATACAGCTGCAGTTAATGGATTAGATGCCCTTCAGCTCTAGTCAATTTTAGATGGTGGGGATGAAATATTAGTTATTTTCTTTTGCACTGTTGCCTCAACCCTACTGCAGTTCATCACAGCTCGTTCATAAGCAATGAAATTCCTTAGCAGTTTAAGAGAACAATTGGTCTCTTAAGGTAAAACTTTAATTCAAAAATAAGATGGTAAGAAGCATCAAAATATGAATCCTGTAATAATGAAGATTCAGTAAAGTCTTCCTCCTTATCCATGTAATTTCATGGATGTTTTTCACCTGTAAATGGGTTCATGAACACGTTCATGAAATACTTTTAATTGTTCCTAAGGGAAACTGGTGAATTTGCTTAGAGTTACAATTATAAATTACTTAGGACCACAAAAATGATAATTTCAAATTTAGTTTTGCAGTAATTTGTGGACCTAAAAATCTGGATACTTCAAATACAAAAAAAAGAAAGCATGTGTCAATGAAAATGCTCTAATGTGTTAGGTGAATATGAAATGAAGCCAATTTTTTTTAATAAAATACATATTAGTAGGAAAAAAAGAGAGAACCATGACAGATGTTCTGTACCTGCTACAAGATTGCAGAAAAATGGTGTGAAAGGAGGAATCTGGTTTTTTTTTAAATATTTTGGCATAATTTTCTATTTCTTGGAACATAATGTGTAGCAAGTTTGTTTTTAAAGCTAGTTGAGGTTTCCTGAATACAGTTATCATGTTTCATCATTTCATTTCCTCCCCAGAATCTCCTAAAGAATATCAATGAATACCAACTTACACTAAGAGAGGTAATTCTTATATTTTGTGAGATTCTAATATTTAACTACTATAATTCATATGTGGCCACTTTATGTAACATTTATTTTATATATAAAATTCTTACATTTTAACTAATATAAATTGTTTTTATTAAAATCAGCTCCAGCTCAAACTTTTTTGTTGAAGGATAACTTCCAGATATAACCTATTTTCAATCAATGTATTCCATCATAATATTTCTAGAAGAAAAAAAAGTGTTCTTATATCCACCTTCAAATGCTTGCTCTCTGATTTTTGTCTTCATGTACTGTTGTTTTTCACATGGGTCAAGTTGTACGAAATCGCAAGCAACCACTACCTTTTCTATTTGGAATTCACATTACAATCAAACCAATTGGTTAATGACATCAGAAATGTTGTTAGTATCTAGTAGTTCCATTTTTTTAAAAGGTCCTCGAGACATCACATAGAGAATCAAACCAAAATTGTACTGTGATTGCGGAGTGTTGTGATAACCCTATAGTGAGTGTCCTGTTGGCCTCACTAGACAATAGTGATTCAGAAAGAAACTCTTGGCTTGAAAGACAAGAACAAATGAACTAGTTCTGAAAGAATATACACAATTAATCATTAGTGGAGTTTAAGTTTCAGTTTACTTGATCCAGAATTATCTCCTAAAACTTGCAGTATTCAAGATTTTAAAAAATTGATTATACTCTTGACACTTTGGCTACAGTGACATTGTAGAAGGCTTCCTTATATTTCACAGGGATGTATGAGAAAGGGCGATGCTGGCCCTTGCCTTTGCAGCTGCTCTTTATTCTGCTTTCTATTTCCGTTTGATATTTCAAGGTCAGTGAGAGTGACCTTTTCTTATTCACTGACTTATTCTGTCTTTTTAGCTGAAAACGTTAAATTCTTCTTTATCCTATTCTTATAATCATGATGTAATTACTGCAGCTGTCTGATTAGACATTAGTTTTTCAGAACAAGGAGCCCTGAAATGTGTTCTTATACACCAGGGGATGTGTTTTATGTCTTTTATTTTTCCTTTGAAATGTACATGCAGACATATCTAGACACATAGTTATGTGTGCATATTTCTATATGCACACATATATACTCACATATTTTTATTCAATGGTTCCCAGTTTTCTAGGAAGACTTTGACATGAAACCTTCCTCATAAAGCACAGGAAATGATCCTTGGGAAGATGGGCCATGCCACATTCCACTTTGGCTGCTTTTTCCCCAAAAAGTAGAGGCTGTTTAAGTCAAGGAAGATGCTTCCCTCCAGTTGCTGCTTTTAGAAATTCACAGCAGGAGCCATGCTTGGGGCTGAGCCTTTTTTTTTTTTTAATGGCCATAGCAGGATCAGATTGACTGAAAAATTTAGTCTGTCTAATTCACTGTGGCTTGTTCAGACGCTCCTGAGAGGAGTGAGATGCTGTTTCTTGATCTCTCCCTCTCCTGGAACTCTGCAGTGAGACCATCAGAATCTTTATCACATACATTTCTATGAGAATCATTGAAGCCTGACGTATGACTTCCTAAATCAGGTTAACTAGAAAACCAGGGCAAACATTTGGGTGATACAATTGGTATAAAGTAGAGCTGTAACTAGATATTTTTCCCTTGGGGCAAAACTAGTTGAGGGAGCAGAGAGAAGCCAGCTACAGCACAGAGGACATTCTGATTGTAGCGGTGATTCAGTTTCACGAAAGGATTATTGGGAGCCAGTGGTGCTACGTGGTAGTGTTAGTTGTGGAAAGTCAAGAGACAATGCTGGGGGAGAAAGTCACTATAGAGAAGAGAACTCTGTCCCAAAGGGAGAAGTGCCTTACCCTCATGTTGAAACTACAAAATAAAACCCTATTTGACCCTGCCAGTGACATCATTGGTATGAAGGTACATACTCTATTGATGTTCCTTCCCAGTCCCTCTGGAGAAATGGCCCCGGATTTTCAATAATCGGGACAGTAGAGTGTGAATTTTGATAGGTTCTGCTAAATTTGGAAATCAGTAAAAAGCATTTAGTAAGTGCTTACTATGTGCCAGGCATCATGATAAATTCTGGGAAAACAAAGATAATTACATAGTGTCTGCCCTCAAGGAGCTCCCATTCTAATAGGGAAGACAATAGACAAACAGCTATATACATATGAGATATATACATGTAAACAGAGGTAACCTCAGAGAAAAGACAGGTGGGGGAGAGATGTATGGGAAAGGCCTCTTACAGAAGATGGGAAAGTGTGATCAGACCTAGTAAAGGCCTTTCCTTTTCCTATAAGTATTAGCCCAGTTGCATCAGCAGAGATTCAATGCTAGAAGGTTAGATACCACATAATGATTTTGAATTGTACAAAAATGTATATAAATAGACTACTAAGGTGTACAGGCGAAGCCTATGTCAGTTGATATAGGGAGTGCTGTTACTCTGGAAATCATAGCTCCCTATTATTGAAATATCCATGTAAAATAGAGTATGCCAGAAGTTCACATGATCTGGGTTGTTCGCCAATGTTAACCAGATTCTCTTTAATATTGTCCATATATTCTTCACTGTATTGATTCCCCAACTGAGTCCACATTGGACTTTTTGAGTTCCATTGAACAACGTCTTAGGGGACAGAAATCAATTGTTGGTATTCTCCAATGTAGGTTTAGAATTCACAGCTTGAGAAGATGAGGATTTGCTAACTGGCATCATTTTGGAAATAGATGTACCTGATCCATTTTGCATGGTTTACTTCCCCTAGTTTTCTTTCTTGTTCACTTATAAACTAGAAGGCAATGTTACTGGGTGTAAACATCTAGCTAGTTAAGTTTTCCCAGAGCTTGATCCCTAAATCCACTAGAGATAGATCCAAACCTAGTTCTTAAGATGATTTTGAAAGAAAAAGTATAGCTGTCACTCAGGAGGTGGAGGTTTGAAATTTTAAAAGACGGCAAAACACCTGAAATGTAATGATACCAACTGGAGGCCTAGGAAGGGACTTTCAGTCATGTCTGATTCTTTGTGACCCCATTTGGGGCTTTCTTGGAAAAGAGTGGCTTGTCATTGTACAGATAAGGAAATTAAAGCAAACAGGGGTAGGTGACTTGCCTGGGGTCACACAGCTAGTAAGTGTCTGAGTCGGGATTTGAATTCAGGTCTTCCTGACTCCTGGTCTGGCCTTCTATCTGCTGTATCTCCTAGCTGCCCTGTGAAGATATTGGTGTATATCTTATCGTATCTGTCACTTCACATACAAATCCATGTTATGTCTTTCTTACTTGTACTAATTTAAATGGGTAAATTAGATTCTGAGCTTGGGGATTTCCCACATAGATTAAATTACTATCAGTATAGATCCTCGCCCCTTCTTTCCAATCTCAGAATGCTATAAAGTTCACATTTCCCCACTGGGGACAGGGAAAGAATGGAGGATGGGGTGATTTAATTTTTAAAGATGAAAATGCAGCTGACAAGACGTTGTTGCCTATGAAATGATTTAATTGAATATATATAATTACCCTTAAAAAGCTTAACTAGTTTAAAGGCAAATTAAAAAAAAAAACTTTGAGAAACTAAGTCATTTTGACTATTATAAATACCCAAATTAACTACAAAGGACCCATGAAGTAAAAATAAAAAAATAAAATAAAATCTAATAAAGGGGCCCTTAGGTGGTGCAGTAGATAGAGCACCGGCCCTGAAGTCAGGAAGATCTGAGTTCAAATCCAGCCTCAGACCAAACACTTGACACTTACTAGTTCTGTGACCTTGGGCAAGTCACTTAACCCCAATTACCTAAAAAAAAAATAAAAATTTAAAAATTAAAAAAGGACCTATGAAGGAAGATGCTATCTGCATCCAGAGAAAGAACTAGTAAATAGAAGTATGTATAGTGTGGTTTTACATATATCACATATCTAATGGTAGCCATCTCTAGGGTGGGGAGGAAGGAAGGAAAAAAGAGAGAAAAGGAAAGTTACAGGATAACTTTATTACATATTTAAAGCAATAGTAAGTTGTACATAATAAATTTGCAGTTTCATGTGCGATCTTTTTTTTTTTCGATCATGTTATGGAAGTGGTTGTTTTAGTTCTTAAGTTCAGAATAAAATAAAATTAAAAAAAAAAGCTTGATTAGTGGGGCATGGTGACACATGCTTATAATCCCTACTACCAGAGAGAACAACGTTGATGAATTGCTTGAGCTCGGAAATTCTAAACTCTAGTAGGGTTAAGTATAATCAGGTGTCTGAACTAAGTCTAGCAAAAATATGGTAAGCTCCTAGGAGTGGGGGGCACCAGGCTGCTCAAGGAAAGGTAAACTGGCCCAAGGGTAGAAATGCAGCAGGTCAGAATATCTGTGCTGTTCAGTAGTGGGATCATACCTGTGAGTGGCTACTCTACTTTCAGCCTTGGTGGGATAGGGACACCCAATCTCAAAAAAAAAAGAAAAAAAAGATTAAAAAGGAATAATAACATTAAAGTAAATGGTTATCACTTGGTGAGAGCAACAAAACAAACATTTTATATTTAATGGAAATACTTTATATTGCATGATCATGCTAATACAACATTGTTTCTTTAACTATAGCATCACTTACCTTCTTGTTTTTGGTTTACAGTGTGTCTCAGTGTTATGTGTCCTTGAAAATGTGTAAATGATGCATGTCTGTGCTATATGTTTAAATTGTTTCTAATAAATAACTTCACTGTCCAGTGTTCTTTCAATAAGGGTACCTGGTACTTGTATTTTAAAGACACATATTTTGGCCAGTCAGAATGATGAACCTTAAGTACTAGATCACTTATTTTAAAATGAATAAGTATGCTTTTCCAGTAGCTAGATGAAAGACTGATTTCTGAATGTTTATTAGCACAGAGATTACTTAAAAAAAAAACAACTCACTGACGAAAGCCAGATCACTATTCTCAACAATATATTTACTAATTTTCCCTACTCCTAGTTCAGTTCAATTCAACATTAAACTCTACTCTGTGCGAGACAATGGGGATGCCAATAAATGTTTGCTTTTTCATGGATGCTTAGTGACAAATGAGACTGGCATTTTCCATCATTGATAGGGTTTTGTGGTCTGTTAAGTCATCATAGCTTAATTATCACAATCATTTCTATTCCAAGCCTTGTATAAGGTTGGTTTTTCTCTTGGTCTTCAAGGAAGAAAGAATGGAGTGGAGAAAGAGGAAATAATGGAGAGGAGAAGGATACAACTTAAATTTTAAAACAGAATTATATATTCAACAAAAAAGAGTGATATTATTTACATCATAGGTCCTCAGAGTTGGAGAGATATTTCTCCACTGGGTACTGTTCTGCAAGATCTTCAGGTTTAAGAATTTTCAGATATTTCAGCATCTCAAAATTGGAAGGGCCCCAAGCAGTCCTCAGTACAACCTAGCACTCTAGCCCATCCTCCCAGGCTCTGTGTTCTTGATCCTCTTTAAACAATGAGAGAAAAGTAGGATTAAAGGAAGGATTTATATTTTTAAAGGCCTTCCTAATACATATTTTTTGGGTATTAATAAAAATAAAAGGAAGAGGATACATGTATTAAAAAAAAAAAAGTCTAGAGAGCCGTTGACAATAGGTCCGAGTCTCTGAGGTTCATGATTTGAAAGAATGTCCTTAGCCTTGAATTTTACTAGCCCCCTTCAGGAGGGAGCAGGATAAAATAATTCTTCCTTTTAAAGCCAGAAAGTTGAACAGCTTTCCCCAACCTTAGAATGTAGGTGTCATATTTTCTCCTAAACTCTCAACCTATGTATCTGTAGAGAACTCCCTTTCCTTTTTAGCGATGAGCTCCTACTCATAAACACTTTTGGCAACTCCTCAGTTAGTAATGCATTCAGTGATTGCAGTGGATACATTTTCTGAGCAAATGAGCCAGATGGACAATTCATTAGTCTCCTTGTTTAAATCTTAGGGAGACAAGCAATATGGTAGAATGGAGGCAAAATTCCAATGTCCCAATGTGATATTCCTCATACCACAAAAAAAAAAAAGTTCAATGATGTGGTAGGATGTGGTTGTTTTCAGGTTTCATCCAATTCAATCATTTCTGCCCTGGGGTTTTTAAGAACCCAAGTTCATTAATTTCTAGGCATCATTCTGAAGAGCACTAGCCACTTGATCATTGTCAGGAAGAGCATGGATGGTACCCATTATTGAAAGGTCATCTGTATTTGTACTAATACAGAGAATGCCAGTTTAGAAATGAGCCTGATTGCATGGTTCATTTTGTTCTCCTTTGTAGAGCCAGGCTGCGGCCCACTACAAAGGCACTAAACATGCCAAGAAGCTCAAAGCACTGGAAGCCATGAAAAATAAACAGAAATCTGTACCTGCCAAGGACAGCGCAAAGACTACCTTCACCTCCATCACTACCAATGCCATCAATACCAGCTCTGACAAAACAGGTTATGAGATGATCTTTGTTGTTGTCATTGTTACCATTCTGGGGGTTTAGTTTTCACATCTCCCTCCTCTGTTGGGTTATGTGTTTGCCATGCCAACGTCCCTCTGGAGCCATTTTTCTATCCAGTGGTGAATTCCCTGCCCCGTCCCTTTTCTTTTCAATAGATTCAGACAATTCCCAGGTGCATTGTGAATTTTCCATCTGTGAAAGGGATCTTGACTTTTGAGGGATTCAGTGCTTGTAAATGATTTGAATCCAGGTCTCCTGTGATATTGATGAAAAGTTAAGCATTCTGTGGGATCCAGGATTTGGTTTGCAGTTTGGGAGCAGCACCCAACTCTTTCCAATGACTGATGTGCAATTGGATTTCATGATAAACTCTCTCCCATCTTTCCACTCTCATTTTATAAAGGAACCAAAGGCCTCATTAGGAATAATTTTTGTCTCATAAATTCCACTCACTTCATTGTTTAAAGTAACTGTGCTATGATTCCTAACTTATTATGGTTGCGTAGCCTCTCCTCCACACATACAGGTAAGTGTTATTGATGCCAATTACTCTTCTTAACAGAGTCTTTGAGCAGAAGCAATGGGCTTTAAATTGCCGCTTGGGACAATTTTTGCAAATAAAAGCTTTATGAGCATCAGGTGAACCCAGTAGAATCTCCCTAAACAGATATTTTAAACACCATGACACCATCTGAAAGTTTAGGGGGAAAGCAAATATTATGATCTGGGGATTATATTATCCTGATAATGACCTCTGGTTGTGTATCTAAAGTTACATCCCAGTTGTATTATAAAAGTATGTGCAAATGGAGAATAAATATTAAGGAAGCCTCCCATTGTTACTTGAGACAATTCCTTACCTAGGACAGATTGCCCTTTTGTTCAAGAGAATACTTGAACCAAATAAATATGCTTACTAAGACAAAAAAATAGAGAGAGATCCTTGGAGTAGAAGCTTGGGGGCCAGCTTTGGAGTTAGGAAGAGCAGGGTTCAGTCTCTGACATACTACCTGGATGACCCTGGATAATCCACTCAGATGGCCCAGATAACTCTCTAAGACTGTAAATTACAAAGGAGTTGTCAGTCAGTATTGGCTCCCCACATTGATAAATCACAGATCTATGTGGAAGAAAATGACCAGAAACACTAAGTAATTTTAATCAAATTACTAATTGTAGAAGCCATTATGCTCTTTGCATAAAATACTGGCTTAGAGTTTTCTATTCACAATGGGGAAGATGCTAACTTTGGGTCTCCCCATTCACAATGGCGCAGGACTCTCCCTTAGACTCCAGAGTTTTCAGTTACTCCAACTTTGTCCCAGCTGGTAATATTGAGGCATACTTAAGTCACAGTTTATAAGGCTTAGTGTCAAATAAACAAGATGTTTTTCCCCTTTGTAAGTAGAGTAACAACTTTCTGTGGAAGGATAAGGTGGTCATGACTACTTGGGATTGACAGAATTTTGGCTGGAATGCAAGTCAATGGGAAGTCATTATTGCCCACATACATATATACATACATACATACATATACACATATACACACAATATCCTGTCCTTGAATCTATCTCTCAGGCAACACTTAACACACAGACTACAAGGAGTTCAGAGGATCTATTTTGGTTTCAGAATCCACCATATGAGGGATGATGGATAGAATTAGATGAGATCTAAGATGCATTCCTTTAAACTCTAAGACTAAAGTTCTCTTTTCCCTGCTGGACCAAGGCGGCGGGTGGGGGGGGAGGATCCCTCCAAAGTTTAAATTAAAAGAAAAACTTTATGTTCTCTGCCATTTAGGAAATAACTGGGCACAGCAAGCAAGGTCAATGTTGAGCTTTCTATCTCATTTTAAAAGTCGAAAGCAAATGATTGTTACAAGAACAGAAGACTAAACATGTATGGAGAGACATTAGTTAGTCTTGGAAATTCATTGGTAGCTCAGGTACCCAGATCTTATCCTAACTTCTAGGGTATAACACTTCTGATTTTGTTATGCCCACTTTCAAGAGAGCCCTCTGGAGCTGGAAATCAGAGATGCCTTTGCCCACCTTGGGTTCTGAGAGCGGGACTAAAAGCGAGACCTCAGAAAGTAAGGATCTGGGACTATGAGTTTAGTGAGTCATGGCCTAAAATTCCATCATCCAAAGGCATAGGGTAGGCGCTACCCACTAGAAAACTGAAAGGAGTTAACAGGAGCTAAAACAGACTTAACATTTTAGAGGAGTTAGTTAGAGTTCATTTTACAAATAAAGAAACTGAAGCTCAGGTTGTAATTTGTTCAAGGGCACACATACAGCAGTTAGCTGAATCAGGATTGAAACTTGGGTTTGCTTGATCCAAAGGTAATGTTCTTCCTACTTTTAGCATGTTCCTCATTTGGGGGAGTTAGGGCACAGATAGCCAATCTGAGGTTTTTCTTAAGATTCTGAGATACTTTAGACAGTCAGATGCTGAGATGAGGCTAGATGTCTTGGGAGCTGGTTCTCCCAGTTTACAGATATGAAAAGATTTGGGATATGAAACAGGATCAATGCTGGGTTCTTAGGCTTGTAGTTGTCTTAATGGTTGCCCAGGCTGTTTACGATGAAGCTCAGAAACAAGTGTAAAACAGAACAGTGGCTGGTTCATTCCCCCAACAAAGCAGCAAGCATAGATGAAATATATAATCTGAAGAGGAACAGGAAGGCTGTCCTCCAATACATAAGTATTTTCATCCTTGGCCCTCTTATACACCCACATCCACATTCTCCTTGTCACCCAAGATTCCTGTGATTAGCATCCTCTTTTAAAACATAAATTCCTCTGAATGAGTCAAGCAGGGGCCATCTGTCATTCCTATCTAGATGCAATTTATTTTAATCTGATTTCTTTCCTCCTAACTGTAAAGATCAACCAGATTAAGGGTATGGAAATTTTGAGAGGAAAGGATAAGGAGAATGAATTCTGGACGATAAAATACTTTAGGGCAGAGGTGTCAAACAAGCAAAACTCCTAAATGCTGCCAGGAATCATATTAAAATGTAGTTGGGGAATGTCTAACTAAATGGAAAAAAAAATACAATACAACATAGATAATGTTAATATATTGTTTCCTAAGACACTATGCAGCCAAATAGGATGTTTCTATTTGAGTTTGACACTACTGTTTTATGGGGCTTAGAGAAGGAAAGACCCTCAAGGAGTTTGCTTCATAGATCTATAACTGCAAGGGACTTCAAAGGTCAATCTGGCCCGATGCCCCCTTTTTCTTGATGAGGAAGCTGCTTACTGCTTAATGTAGTTTTATTTTCAGACTTTGGGAGATAGTGGAGGATAGAAGGGACCTTTGTGCTATGGTCCATCAGGTCACAAAGATTCGGACACAACTGAACGATGACAGTGTTTTACTTTTGTTCAATCATCTGTGTCCTTTTTGTAGGGGTATACTAAGCCTGTGATTTTATCAGTATAGGAAACTTCCTCTCTCAGCAAAGATTGACCCCTGCTTTGCTACTGATAGACTTAGAGATTGGCCTGGGGCACTGTTACATTACTTGACTGCGATCACAAAGCTGGTACATGCCAAAAGTTTTTATTTGAACCCAGGTCTTCCTGGAGCAGAGGCTCTCTCTTTATCCACTACACCATATTGCCTTATGTGAAGATTGTGTACAATTCTGGTGTTTTCTATCTTAGATTCTGAGCTCCTACATGGCAAGGTCCAGACCTAATTAACTCCAGGGCTCAGTGGCCCAAAAAGGGTCTGAAGGATATTAAAACTAATCAGGGCCTTAAGAGAAAAACCAGTTCAATATCTTCATTTTACTTATCAGTAAGTGGAAAGTAAAAGAACATATGCAGGGCCACACACCAAATGAGTTGAAAAGACCAGTAGCCAAGTTTCATTAATATCAGCTCAGTTTTTCCTGCTTCTAGATACTGACTACCTGTCTCAAGTTAAAACTGATTGGGAAAAAGAGGTAAATGGATGTTAATGCAGAAGAAAGAAACATCTTTTAATATTAAATAATAGAAAAAAAGATGTAGAGGATGAGAGATTATTTTTAATAAAGAAGCAGGATCTTTAGGGACTTTGGAACAATATATTATTTTAAGGAAGGAAATGAAATAAATCTATCATAGATTGAAACTGAAAAATTCTGATAACAGTAAAAGAATTAAGCAACTTTTGAGAAATTGACTCAATTCTTAACTAAGAAATAGTAATGAATGGTTCTGGCAACGTGAGCAATATAAGGTACCTGCATGTAATGAGATAACTGATGTATAACATTTTGTAAACCTTAAAGTGCCACATAAATGTTAGCAATTTATTATTACATTATTGTTGTTATTGTTATTATTATCTTTAAAGGACAGAAAATGTTGCGTCTTCTGGAGTCAAGTAGAATCATACCAAAGGCTGAGTTCACCCACTTTGAAATTTTGACTAGGCCTGGTGGTTTTCCCCCGATATTTCTTCCCATGCTTAGATGGGAAAAGTACTGCATTCCCTAAGCCCAGTTTGACTTTGTTATTCTATGCTTCTGTGATCAGCTTATCTTGCATTTTTTTAACAGCACTATAAATTCTTGTCACATTGCTAGAGTGTCATCCTCCCGTTCCCCTCTTGACCAAATGCCATCCCATCCTGGAATGGTAAATATGGAGGAAGGTGGGTGCATCATCTTCTCTCAATCTGGGAGATGGATCTTACCCTCTCATTCAGAAAAGATCTTTTCTCTCTCCCTTTCACCTGTTAACTTATCCCACTTGACAACTTACTGCAAATATTGAGAATAAAAGAAGGCATACAAGGTATCACCGATTTCTTAAAATTCAGGCATTTTCTCGGCTGAGTTTTAGGAAAACTCTTTCTAACATACACACACAAATATAAACATATATGTGTTTACATACATATATCTATATATGCATATATATATCTATATGAGTGTGTATATATATACATACACACACACACACACACACACACACACACACACA